ACCGATATTTTCAGGAACCGTTGCTTCATTTTGCACAAAAATACCAATACATCTTTTTTGAAATATGTCTGGATCCAACAACGCCACAATAAATAACAAGGTTCTGAAATTGCTGCTTATCAACTGATGACATTGATTTAAACTCTTCATCGCTGGAAGTATTTCCTCTATGAAATTCCCACCTTTTATAACTACTAGCGGTACTCAGTTCTTGCAAAAATGAGTACATCTGTGGACCTTTAATCTTGTATGGCCTGTTGATGAATTTTAAATCTTCCAATAAATGACGCAGGATACATTCATCTTTATCCAAGTGTTGAAAGCAAGCTCTGGCACTTTCAGGTGCATGAATATTTTTGCATATAAAAATATTTACTCTACTTTTAAGTGATGGTCTTCGTACATTATTGGGATAATCATATACTAAACATGTAACGTTGGATGTTTGTTTTAAAACGTTCAGGCGCAAGCAAGTAGGATCATTGGCTAATATATGAAATTCTTCGAGAATTGAGGATTTGCAATTAATACAGAGGCGACTGGCATCATTTCGTCGGTCCCATGACATAAGGCGCGCGCCCTATCTCGTTATTCACACGTTTTCAGGAGAGCAATTGAAAGAAAACTATGTTTTTTTTTTTGGAATTAGGAACAACAAACCATGTAAGTTTTTTGTCAAACAGGTACCATATTTCAAAATAGTAACTACCATTTGTGTCAAAATTTTGCGATACTTACCAGCTCTTCAAGAAACCAGAAGACAACGGAGTACGGAGTGACAAAATTGGCAACATCTTAATAAATACTGGCACCTATAGTCACCTTATCCATTATTTTTATATTACCTATAACCGGTACTACCTGTAATCATTACCTCGCAGGTAATCGTAATACGATGCGGGTCCTATTCGAATTGCACGGGCGCCTTATTTTCCTTGTAGCGGCGAAACCATCCAATCGACCCCCCTATTTTTTTTTTGGAAAATCAAACAAGAGGGTTAGAGGTACAACATATCAAAAATTAGAGCAATTTCACCGAAACCACTTTTCAATGTAAATTGTGCGTGGTCCTTTTTGACTAAGAAGAAAAAGAAAAAACACGTGTTGACTTATTTTTCATGGACTATCGAAATCAGCAATAAAAAAATTTGATGCAAGGAGCCTATTGACGTGTCTCGCAAAATAGTAAAAGAGAGCTTAATTGTGATAAATACAAGTTAGAAAGTAACAAAAAATGACATGCGCGCGCAACTCGTGGCTGCAGTGTAGCCAGATTTTATTGTCGCAGAACAAATGTAGACAATACAAATCGAACATTATAACAATAAAGAAGTAATATATTGTCAAGTGTTTTACAGCGCCTTAAATCAGACAAAAGAAGAGCTTTAAAGTATATGTTAACATCGATGGCACTTTTAATTTGATAAATGTTTCATCCGGCAACATCGCACAATGAAATTGCAAAGGAATTTGACAAGTATAATCTTACATAACCTTAAACGACACTGCGATAAGTTCAAGCAATACGTAAAGTATTAGTTCGCTCTTTGTCGAATTACACGTTACAAAGAAAGAAGGAACGATTAATTCTGAACTCGTCCCTGAATACGAATATGACGCAAGCCCGTAACAAACTCGATTTTCATTGGACGCTCACCTGCAAGCCACGAGTTGCGCGCGCACAACAGGTATTACGAGACACGTCCATTCGAATGGTGATTATAATATCGGGTCTTCAAAAAAAAAACCAATCAAAGATTGCTTTGGTTACGAAAACGTACGTCGCATTCCTGTTTCTCCATTGGTTAGAATTTTTGACATGATATTTTGACATTAAAGGTCATTGACAAAATTAAAGAAAAATATTGCTAAGACTTACGTTTAAAAAACCATAGCAATCTTTGATTGGTTTTTTTTTTGAAGACCCGATAGTTTGACACTCTGTTTTTTTTTTAAAGATAAAAGTCAAAATGACTTGGCAATACAATGTAAAATTGTCAAAGCTATCATGACATTGTGTTGCCAACATAGTTACTAAATTTTTGACTTGGGGAATTATCTTTAAAAAAAACAGACTTTAGGCAATCGAAACGTTACTTCCGAGTCGCATCCTTCGACTTCGAGCAATTAGAATCCCCATGCTGGTCCCATGACTCAATACATGTCATTGATACATCTCTTAAGCCGGGTCCAGCCTATGTAACAAAACATGTTGATAACAAAGTGTTATAACAAAGGACATCGCACACATCTTATGGGTTTTCGGGGAACGGTCGATTTTTTTAAAAAATTGGTATGTTGTAGTACTGGCAAAAATAAGCATTTTTTTCCATTGCGCCAAATCTCTAACTATACAGGGTGACCCAGTAAATTAGGTCCGAAAATCATAAAACAAGCCTTTCAATTATCGGTATTAGCGCGCCCTGCAAGCTAAATATCGAGATTTTTGTTTTCGATTTCGCAAATAAATAGTCAGATAAGCCTAATATACTATACAGGGTAGCTGAGCTTGCGTATTTTTTTAGAAATCCTGCCCTATTTTTAGAAATAGTGTTACCAAAAAGGTCGTGCTGGAATTAATTTTGTCCGATTTAAAAAAATGTGGTATCAAAATAAAGCTTATATTACAGGGATGTCATGAAATCTAAAAAAATTAAAAATGTGATAAAATTCGAGGTGATTGAACGTGATAAAAGTATAACTTTTCATTCGATTATGGTCTTGAATACACCCAATACACCTAAAGTAAGGGGCGGTTCCTTAATTGCGAGTAACTCTAGGGGTTAACTAACCCGGTGTTAATTTCAACATGGAGAAGAAAGATATCCCAAGAGGAAAAAACTTCCTTGAATCGGAAAAAATAGTAATAATCAAGCTATAATATAAGCGAATTATAGGGTGCAAGAGGTCAGACATGAACTTTTAATCCTTTTATAGAGAAATCCTAGTCATCGTATTTCTCAAGAGGATTAATCCTTTGGCGGATTATATGAGGCGTTTTTGCTACGAAATTTTAGAAATCTTCATCTTCATCAATAAGTCCATATATTTCTATTTTGGAAAAAAAATATTACCACAAAATTGACAAATCACTAGATCACGAAAAAAAAAAAATGTTTTTTCAGGTTATCTCAAAGGGTAAATCCATAAATCGCTAAAGCCGCATTATCATCAACAGTGAGCCAATTTAACCCAAGGTTACACCAAGAGTTATAGCTAACTCGCTGTGGAGAAACGTTTACCCTGGAGTTATAATCAACCCGGAAATACAAGTAACGTATTTGATGGATACTTCACATTGTTCTCATGTCGAGCGTAGCTAAAGTACCTAACAACGCTATAACTTTGCATGTGCAGTATGTGCCCAATACTGGATTCCCTCCATCCAGCACAGGGGAGAACAAAAATGATACAAACAGAAAATCTCTCCTTACTTATCTTGTGTGTACCCCGAAAATATTTAGATATATTCGGAAAGTTTTAGTTCATCAATACTCAACAGTGAGAATAGAAAAATTAATATAATTTTCATGTAAATCGACTTAAGGCCCACCCCACCACTCCACCACCCCTAAGTTGGAGGATTTCTGTTTGAATCCTTTCATGTAGGGCATTTTCAATATTTTGCACTAGTCACAACATTCTGTGTTAAACACAGTTTTCAAATGTCCATCCAACATGTCTTTGTAATCTTACGAGTATTATTTGCTTCCTCAGATGTAAATTATTGACGGTTTTTAGCCAAAAAAGGCGATATTTCACACGAATTCTATGAGATTTGTCATTTTTTCAGATTTCATGACATCCCTCTATGATATAAGCTTTATTTTGAGACCAGATTTTCTAAAATCAGACAAAAATTGGAAAAGTTACGGGCAAATTAATTCCAGCACGACCTTTTTCGTAACACTATTACCAAGAATAGGGCAGTATTTTTAAAAGAATACGTAAGCTTAGCCACCCTGTATAATATATTAGGCTTATCTAGACTATTTATTTGCGAAATAGAAAAAAAAATCCCGATATGTAGCTTGCAGTGCGTGCCAACATCAATAATTAAAAGGCTTGGCAACGATTTTCGGACCCACTTTACTGGGTCACCCTGTATAGTTAGAGATTTGGCGCAATGATGAAAAATACTTATTTTCACTAGTACTACAACATACCAAATTTTTGAAAAAATCGACCGATCCCCGAAAACCCATAAGATGTGTGCGATGTCCTTTGTTGTACAACTTTTTTATGTAACTTGTTATAATATAGCAGAAGCATCCAGACTACATAACAAAAAACAAAACAAAATAGTGCGCATAATTTTTGCAGCATTTCAGCTGGTAGGGGTAGGGTAGGGGATGCTCAGTGCAAGAGAAATGTTTCAATAACATATGTATTTTCAAGTTTAGACAAGTAAGGTCGTGTTTTACCACAAAGTTTTATAACTTCCTTTGATCTTACCGACATCTGATGGATAACATAAAACATGCTATATAACCAGCAAAATGTTGTACAACACTGTATTGTAGGTATAACTTTTTTATTTAAAATTTTCTAACAAGTTATAAAACTTTGTTATTTAACATGTTTTGTTACATAATCTGGAACCGCCGGCTTTACTTTTGCTTCACCGCGATAGATACGCTACTTTTTGGACTCTTTGGTCCTTAGGTACCTACCTACGCCGTTATATGTGTGAATATATTGGTGCTGGTATTCCGTTCTTTTCCCCTTCTTCTTGGTTTCTGTCAGGGCTGCTATATCGATGTCATAACTTGGGCATTTTCATCTCTCAATCATCAATGTCAAAACTTTAAAGAACTTTTTCTTAAAAATGGTTGAGTTTGTACCCCATGTTGTATAAACTGTTTTTTGTTCAAAATGGGCCATATTTTCGTATTAACATCTTTGTAGTCGAGCCTGATACACCATGCATACCTAGTCAAACACTAAATTTTCAGGATATAAATAAAAAACTTACAAAGTTATTATATTTTTATTTATTTTTAATTATTTCGAAATTGAAAAACTATTTACAAATTGCTTAAACTAATATGTACAAAATTTTGACAAGAAGCTAATAATTTTCAACAATTAAATTTTTATTATCAATACGATAATACATTATTGTTCCAAACATTAGAAAGTTAGAACGGCAGGAATCATAAAACATTTTTCATACAGCCGTGCGGAAAAATCGATTTTCCGCACTGATATGCGTGCGGAAAATGAGTTTTCCCGCACGGTGCGGTAAAACTTTTTTTTGACATATCAGTGCGGAAAAAGTTTTTCCGCGCGGCTGTCAGTACGGAATAGCTATTTTAGGAACTATATTTTTTCTACGAGCATACTAAAGCTGATGTTACGAAGAGTTTACTTTAAATAAAATGCGATTATGCAGAAGGTAGAATTAAAAATGTATTAAAAGGTATTTATAAAAAGGTAAAGGTACAGGTATAGGTGTATCAACAATACAAACAATTCCATGTCACAATGATTATTTCAAACTCTTCCCGCACTGAGTGCGGGAAGAAATCTCTTCCCGCACCGGTGCGGGAAGAAAGTCTTCCCGCACAGCAAATCGTGCGGGAAGAGCCATTTCCCGCAAGCTCGTAGAAAAAAAAATTTACCGCACTGATATGTCAAAAAAAAAAAAGAAAAATTTTACTTTTTTACGCCTGTAGGAAAAATATTGTACCTAACACTTGCGGAAAAATTCATTTTCCGCACTTGTTAGCTAAATAGCTATTTTGTATACCCATTTACCATTCTTTTAATTTAATATTTTGAAGCTACGTAATTCTAACTAGAAAAGTAATTCCATAAAAATAAATAGGTAGGTACCTATGGCCAAATTGAAAATGTTGTGAAGCACTTTTTGTGTTAGTACCAAAGATGTGAACTATTTAACCAAAACATGTTGTGAAATGGTGTGCAATTTGTTGTAGGAATGAAAGGCAAAATGTTATAACAGACTTTGTTGAACCTAAAACATTTTAGTAAACTTCCAGCAAGTTACACAACAAAGTTAAATAGAAATTGGATGTAAAACATTGGCATTACAATATAGTCTAGATGCTCCTGCTACATCTAAAATGAGCTTTACCTGTATTAAAAATGATAAAAAGTAATAGTTATGTTTAAAATTACGTAGATATCACAAAGAAAACTAGTTAATCCCCTAAAACCCTAATATATAAAATTGCAACTATAACAACAACAAAAACACACTATAGGAAATAAATTAATACAATAACGATTTTACCCTGTTCTATTCACTTTACTATTCATTTGGTTTGTCGCTAATTTCATTCTTGTCTTCTAGGGGTAACAAGTAACAGTTTAAAACTTGGCTAAATTGGAGGAGGGATAACGTAAAATTCAATTAACAAAATAATTGAAATTACATTTCTTTCTTTCAGACTTCTGCTTAGTTATTTAAACTTTTTATCATCATGTTTCTAAAACCCTCAATAACAAAATTATAATTCGCAATCATTATTGTCATAATGTATAAAAGCCTGACTTTCACGTTTCAGTAACCTATTACTCATTGTGTGGCCTTTTTCTGCAGTACCCAATCTCCCTACCATAAGTCCAAATATAAAATATATACAGACGCCTGCTATACTTAAGCTGATTAACGAAAATGGCAATTGGCAAACTGGTACAATCACTGCCATGTAGTAGACCATCCCTTTGATGTACCAAGGAAGACCTATTTGGTTCTAAAATAATGTTTATGAAATCGATGATTATGGATTATTGCAATATGTACTTACATATTCAAGCCAAGCCAATGGTAAATAGGTATCGCTAAAAGTTTGGATGTTTTTTGGAAAACCCCAAAGCTTTTTCATTACCAAGTTTATTTGGGCTCGGGCTTTGCCTGCCAGAGGAATACCTGTGACCTAAAAAAAAGTTTTCAATGTGTAAAGAAATCAAAAAGAATTCTTAACAAGTATGGATAAATAGTTGATAAATTTCACATTGATTGGTAATTTTTGTGAATATGCCTAATACATAATGTATTGAGTAAACTTACAGGATCAATTAATACATGAGAGCCGTGTTCTTCTTCGTTTGGAGTCAGGCCGTCGATTTTTGATTGGAGAGCTTCGTCACCGTAGAGGAAGTGAGGAAAACTGGCAGCAATGGGAAAACCTAAGCAATATTTTCTAGAATTAAATTCAGAAACGCTAAGATAATCATTTGGAGTAAATTTTGTTGTTGAATATATTCCAGGAAATTTTTTCTTTTTGAGTTTTTCACTCAAAATCTTCAATGTGCAGTGTTTCAATATCTAGAGTTATCGAGCTAAATTTTTCTGAGATTGTAGCTTTCATTAAATGCTTGAATGTGTTATTTGAAAAACCACTAGTGGTTTTTGAGCAATTTGAACTTGAAGTTTTGGATGAAATTTCGTCAAAATTCTAAATTTGATTCACTATTTCTCGAAACCTATAAAGGCAACTGAGTCTAGTTTTGGAAGGTTTATAGAGAATTTATTCCTCTTCCAGAATATCTTCAATACAAGTTGATTCGTTGAAAATTACGATAACTATAAGAAATTCTCGAGAGCATGTCAGGTAATCAAAAATGTTCTATGTCTAAAAAGGATTTTTTTTGCAATTTCTTATATCTGATTTTTGATAATAATTTCACCCTTGTTTTAGACTAATTTTGACCTCCTTTTTCGATTGAAAAAGTCAATAATTGAAAATGGAGAATATCATTATTTTTTTTAGCAATAACTTATAACAATTAGATAATATATGTGATGAAAAATTGTCTTCTTACCCCAATAACAAGGCGACACGTCAGCAATACCATTCGGCAACGTTGGATCTCCAGCAAAACAATCGTCATTGCCCTCCCAACCCTCCCTATAAAACGTATAGGGCATCAATTTGAACCTATATCCGTTAATACCAAATTTCCTTTCGTCTCCTGCAAAAAATCAATTCAAAAAATAATAACATTAAAAATCCTATCAGTAAGTAATAGGTACGTACTTTCATAACGTATATCCGCTTGTTTACAAAGAGTTTTCCTCCAATAAGTCAAATTAGCATCTTTGGTAAGCATTTGTGGATAGCCTATACCTTCAGAGGCATTGCGGAATTTCAGTTGACATTTCGGATCAGAGAAATGTGGTAAGTATGGTGAGCCATCGTAGGTATCGATGGTGAAAAACTTGGCATCACCGTTTTTCTTACCTATTAAAAGCGTGACGTTGTTGGAAAAGTCTTGATAGATCTAAAACCAGAATAATTATTATTATTGGTTGATGTTCTTGAAATATTGTCTGTTGTTAAGCTCCAAATCAGGTCACTTGTTTTAATAAATAATTTTTCCGATGCTCTTTTTTCAATCATTCCGTGAGAGATTGAGTGGCAGACGAAGATATCAAGAGTAAAGCAGGAGTAGCAAATGAAGAGATGGCATCCAAGGAATACCAGAAGAGAACTGGATACAAAGAGACCTCAATAGAAAACTGTTGATATATTTGCATTCATTAAGGAGTGTAGAAGGAGATTCAAAGAAAAAAAAAACTTCCCAGATATGAGGGGTGTAGTTGCAAAAGTCACAATCTCCGTCATAAGCAGTTTGTGGGAAATCGCAAAAAACTTGTCGCTTGAAAACCTTAACTTTTTTCTTAAAACTCATAATATATCAAAAATAGGAAAAAAAATTGCATTTCGATGGTATAAACCAAAATGCGATATTTTGAACATTTTCGAAAATTTTTCAAAGTTTTGTTTGGAAAATGTTGATAAGCGATAATTCGATATCCGCTAAATCGGATAATGTGAGTTTTGCAAAGAAATCTTCGTTTAAGGTTTAAGTACTCTCCTGTTAAGGGAGAATGCGATTTATGATGCTTTGAGAATTACACATAAACGCGTTTCGGATATTGTGAGTTTTGCTGCGAATCACGACTTTAAGGATTTAATTTTTATGGGATATTGTCACTTATGCCGGAATTTTATATTACTATGTTATAGAATTTAGATTTCTTTATAGTCCAGTACCATTAACTCATTTTTGGTCAAAAGTGGATAATGTGAGTTCTGCAACTACACCCCTCATATCTCTACCCTGGCAAATTCATCTGGATGTACTTAATCAGAGGCAGTGTGGTAGAGGACGAAGTGTTCTCTTCCGTGTTTCTCCGATGACTAAATTCGACGTTGAGGGAACTGCGTTATTTATATCCAGGGTTGTGGGCGTAGATTGGATTACGGTATTTTCCTTGTTTCGTTCTCGGAAAGGAAGGGTCTTTGTTTTTCGGAGAACTGGCAACCAGCTTTTGTTGAGGTTCATACCCTGTCAACAAAAGCTGGTTGCCAGCTCTCCGAAAAACAAAGACCCTTCCTTTCCGAGAACGAGACAAGGAAAATACCGTAATCCAATCTACGCCCACAACCCTGGATATAAATAACGCAGATCCCTCAACGTCGAATTCAGTCATCGGAGAAACACGGAAGAGAACACTTCGTCCTCTACCACACCGCCTCTGAAGATGTCTACCGCAGCAGTAGACGAAACGTTAGAAATACTAATTGGCCACGGCATTATAGCCCGGAAAAAACTTTTTTACTAGATTTGACCGGCCGTGAAAGCCTTCATTCTTTATTTGTAATTAATCAGCTCATATGACTAATTACTTCAGAAACTGGCATGTAGGTATCTGATGAGGTGAGTTGCTCGGATCACAGATACCTACATCAAATTTGAAATTTCAGAGGGAACAGTTCAATACAAAGCTGACCTTTAAAATAGCATTCCGAACATCAGGAAGACAATAAGAGGCACTGAAAATTTGAAGATGGTTGTGAATCAATTCAATGATGCAATCATCTCAACCTTTATTGAGAACCAAGTGTATTTTTTAGTAGTATCATTTAGTAGATGTTGGGATCAAAATCGTATAGCATTTCACTCTAGTTACTTACAATATTCAAAAGTCCTACGTTTCTTGTAGGCACCAAGCTGGGCGCTAGCTTTTCGGCAGGTTCCAAAATTGGATCTGTTGCGTTCCATAAGTAGTCGTAAATTGTCATTTTAACCAAAGGTTGTGCTTTAAACGACCTCAACAGCATGTTGACTCCTAGTTTAATGAACATTGAGGAATCGTGAAAATAGGCAGGAATCAACTAAAAATGATTAACCTTGTATTATATAAAAGCCGGAGCATAATTCTACTACTTAAAACATTCTAATTCTATAGAATATCTAATCTAGTTTTAGTTTGAAATTTACTTAACTTTAAAACTTTGCATATATTACCAATTACCAAAAAATACTCACCAATACACCTAAATTAGGTACAATAATAGTATCGTTTAAATTAATAGTATTCATTTCTGGTAAAAATACAGCGGTTCTATTGGCCGTATAGGAAAGGGTACCGTTAGGATTAACTTTTGGATTGATATGTTCCAATTTTTCTTTGTAGATAATCGGACCGATCTCTTGCACTCGGATTTTTTTGTCGGTTCCGTTCATGAATGCCTCAGAATTGGTTATATTAAATACAAATACACTTAGTAATATTTCGTCCGGAGGTGTTGCCCACCATTCATAGGGTGGCAAACCTGTAAAAGAATTACAGATTAACTATATAGCTATTTAGGAAATGTTTTAGAAAATATTTTATTATTCGTAAATATTTTGATGAAGGTATTTGTCTGTCTGTTAACTTTATTAGAGCTGGACAAAATGGAATATAGAATAATAATACCTATAACAAAGTAATATTCAATTTAACTTCAACAAAACCAAAAATAAACAAAAAAAAAATCCAGACCAAAAACAAAATTGTAATGACGTGTTCAAGCGGTTCTTAGACTTTGGGTTCTCTACATTTTATCTGTGATCAGTAACTAGTTTTTCGGACATCGTAAACCTTTTTTTTTTAAATCAAGCTCGTAACAATAAACTTATTTGTTTATTATGTAAATCCATACATTTAAATTTGGATTGAAAAACTTTGCCCCTTTTCAATCTCATCGTGTATTTTTACAAATGTTTCGAACCGGATCCAACGTTTTTTTTTTTTTTTTGAGTCTGATGGTATAACAACAAAACAATAAAAGTCATATAAAAATTATATTTAAATAGGTACCAACCTATGCAATTATTTTTTTTTACCTGTGTCTTTCTACGTAGGTACCATTTAATGGTATACTATTTGGAATTCCAATTTATTAAGCAATTAAATATATGAATAAATTAATGACTTACCTGGTGTCATTTCTAGTCGGATACTTAATAACATTTTCAACGGTGTGTAGATTAAAGAAGCTAGACCCCAGGCGGTGGTCAGTATGGCTATTGTTAGAAGGATTATTAAACCTGAAATAAATGAAGATTTTGGTTACTAACCCAAACTTTTTTACTTAAGCAAGGTTGAGACAAAATAATTTGAAAATTAGTTAATTGATGAAAATTATCAAGTTTTGACTGTATTAAATGAAGAAACATTTTTAATGAATTAATATTTTAATTTTTCATGTAAGTGAACGGCTTCAAATTAAATTTAAAATTTCTCATATTTGTAAACAATAATTATCTAGAGCAATAGTCATTTGAATATAAAGCCTTTTCATTTAAAAAACCAACCACCATTACCTTGAACGTGCCTGTATTTATTTTGCTCGATTTACCAGTATTACCATTTTATTTTAGATAAACACAAGACAATGGAAATTTGCGCAAGATTTTCTAATAATTTAGAATTTTTTTCTGAGAAAAACATTTTAAGTACTAAGGCCTGAAAATATAATTTACATTCAGTGCTCAGTTTTTGGTCAACAATGTTCCTGAATTCTGATAGTGGTAGAGAGGATTGTGAGGTAAAATTTTCCAAATAGCTCGCAGACAGCACACAGACATCATAAAGATGTCCCCAAGATGTCCACATTTAACATTCAATACGTCTGGTCACGTCTTCAAGGTGACTTGAAAACATCCCAAAGACGTCGTATGTTGCAAAACGCAACGTCTTTTAGACGTCTGCCTAAAGACGTCTTTAGGACTAATATTTCATTATTATTACTCATAGGTATTAGAACTTTATTTTTGTCTATTCCAAACGCTAGCCTATTATATTCTTGATTCCTTTTAAACGAAAACACAAAATCCATTTTGGAAAAAAAAAACATTAGAAGATCAGAAGAACTTGATCTGCAGTGTGAACTAAGTAGGTATATCTTCTGTGTTATTAGTCATTTCATAGCTCTCAATTTTTGTCTATTCCAGGCGCTAGGCTGTCCGAAATAATTCTGAGGTTTTTAAATTGTTCTGAAGTTTTTCAAAATGCTGCTGGAAAGTGTTTTGAAACATTCTAAATTGCTTATTGAAGTTCTAAAGTGTTCTAACTTCGCTTGAAGAGTTCTGCTGCATTTAAGAAGTTTTTAAGTTATAATTTATAAGTTGTTCTGACAAATGTTCAAATATTTTAGAGTCCAATATTGAAGCTCCAAAGTGTTCTAAACTGGTTCAAAAGAGTTCTAAAAGGTTTCCAGTTCTAAATTAAATCCTTATTGTTCTAAATTGTTCTTAAGTTTCTAAATTGTTCCAAAAGGCTCCCTAAAATTCTTCTGATTTGGATTTGAACTGTTTTGGATGCTGTTTTAAAGGTCTAAAGTTCTACAACAATCTAAATTCGCTCATAAACCCCTTCTGGAGGAGCGTTTCGTAACTTTCAATTTGAATCTTAGGATTCTGGCGCTTTTCAAAATATTTCTGGAGATTCTATACCTTTACAACTTCAAATTGAGACTTATCACAATCAAATTGAAAACAAACATTTTCAAATTGAGATTAAACAAAATCAAATTGAGAATAATGAATTTCAAATTGGTACAACGTTCAATTACATGGAAACGGATGTTGTACCAATTTGAAATTGATTGTTCTCAATTTGATTGTTTTAAGTCTCAATTTGATTTTGTTAATTTCAATTTGATTTTGATAAGTCTCATTTTGAAGTTGTAAAGGTATAGAGTGTTCGAGTGTTTTGGTCCGTCCTAAAATGGGTTTCAAACTTCTGAATGGTTCAAAAATGCTTTTGGAACTTGTAAATCGGTTTTGAATATTTTTAGGCATTCTAAAATGGTTCTGAAATTTGCAAAATGTCTTGAAGCGCTGCAAAATGCTTTAGCATATTCTGAATTGATTTTTAAGTGTTTCGAACTTTCCAAGAGGCTTTTTAAAGTTCTAAAGTGTTCTGTAGCATTCTAAATGGTTTCCAATAACGTCTTGATTGAATGAGAAACTAATTCTGTGGGAAATTTTTGTAGACATCTCAAAGATGTCCACAAACGACATTCAAGACGTCTTGCTTACGTCTTAAAGGCGTCTCGAACACATCTTGAAGTCGTCGTATGTTACAAAAGCCAATAATATAATGTAATGTGCCAATAATATGTAATAGGCCAAATATGTTACAAAACCCAACGTCATTCAAGAAAAAAAAATCGTAATAGGAGAATTGATTGCCCAAATAGGCTGAGAAAAACAGAAAAAACAGACTTTATTATTATTACAATTTTTTTAGAAGTTTTTATCGTCTGTTATATTATTAATAGTGTGTTTATTTTAGTGGCATGCAGACCTAATAATTAAAAGTTGATGAAAAATTTTCTTGTCTCGACTGAGATTTGGACCCCCTACATTTCCCGTGTAACAAACAGTGGAAATGTAGGGGTCCTGGGTTCAAATCCCAGTCGAGACAAGAAAATTTTTCATCAACTTTTAATTATTACGTCTGCATGCCACCAAAATAAACACACTATTATTTATTATTATTAACCTGTTGGTAAATTTAGGATTGTTGTTTAAAAACCTGTTATTATTATTTTCATGTCATACCAATACATTATTGTGTTTTTATTTACGACTAATGTATAATGTGCGTATTATATTTGTGATTTTGGCAGTATAATGACATATGTTATTCCTCCAGGGATTAATGACGAGTAGCGGGATTAATGGTCATTATTCCACAAAAGTGTCAGTGTCAAACGTGTAGTGCTTGTGGATTTGTATTGAAAATTATGAGACAGATGAAATTTGTTCATTGAAAATCTCAAATAAATTAATTTGTCGTAAATAAAGTAGAGTATACTACTCGCAATAATGGCTATTATTCCCTCGGAATGTTACTCCCTCGCCGCTAACGCGGCTCAGTTCGTAATAATCCTCGGGAATAATAGCTATCATTATTGACTCGTGGTATAATCTACTATTATACCTTAGATACCATCTACATAATTCATTACTTTATGCCCGTGCGGGCATAAAGTACACATTATGGCCCGCGTGGGCATAAAGACGCAAAAAACAGTTTTCAATTAACTTATTCTTTATTAATAAAATATGAATTTACGCTGATAAACATATGTTTATTTTTGTCAAAAAATTATAATGTTTGCACCCTGATGACAATTTGCGAAGTGACACTTTTTTCCCAGGTATTTATTATTCACAACCAACTGGTTGACATAAAAGTTTGTATGCACCACTAATTATATACCCTCGGGAGACTTACGAACCCTCGGTCCAGAGGCCCTCGGCTTTGTAAGACTGTCGCCCCCAGGGCATAATCATCTACATAGTACCCTTGATATATAAATAACTATTTATAAAGTGTCATGCCATTTTCAGGTTTGATAATAAAAGAGTCACATCTACAGCGAAATTTCTCACAAAATACATAAAGTCTGTTTTTAAAAAGAATAAAATAAAAGTCAAAATGACATTATGTTGGCAATACAATGAAAAATTGTCAATGCTTTCAAATTTTTTATGTAGAAAAGGCTTGTGTTTCCAACAAAGTTAATAAATTTTTTACTTGGGGAATGATCTTTAAAAAAAAACAGAGTTTAACAATTTGGCGACAAGGAGAGAGAAGATAGAATAAGAGAAGAAAAATTCGAGGAAAATCACAACCATAGCAGAAATAAAAATCAATATTTAATATGTTCGAAGAACTAGCACCATTAATTGCAGCACTCAGCGGATAAGTAAATACATTACAACAACAACAAGCAAGTGGATTAGGCAATATTAAGGAGTTTCTCAAAAATCAAATAATAAATTTTGAATCTTTTAATGACTATTTCACTAGAGTGACCACCAGCAATAAATTCGGAATTCACCTGACAATAATGCTACCTGGACAATACCAACAACATGGTATTTCAGCGACCATCTTTTGACATTGTCAAACTGGTATTTTTAATTTGAAGTTTTTATTCATAATTTTGCAATCTATTTATTTTCAAAATCTTACGTGAAATAGTCATGACGAATACCACTCGAGAAAAAATTGTGTCGGGAAAATTGTTCTCAAGGTTTTATTCAAGTTTGTTGCAACAAACTTTCATACCTTTCGAAAATTTTGCCGACAAAATTTTTTCTCTTGTGATATTATATATGAAAATTTTGAGAATTTTGACAACTATTGTCATTGTCAACGATTGGAGATTTTTTTCATACTTATATAATATCACAAGAGAAAAAAATTTGTCGGCAAAATTTTCGAAAGGTATGAAAGTTTGTTGCTTGGCAATTTCGCGAATGACATTTAGTGATTTTATCAAAAATGTCATGAGCGAAATTGCCGAAAAGCAACAAACTTGAATAAAACCTTGAGAACAATTTTGCCTACACAATTTTTTCTCGAGTGGTATTCGTCATGACTATTTCACGTAAGATTTTGAAAATAAATAGATTGAAAAATTATGAATAAAAACTTCAAATTAAAAATACCAGTTTGACAATGTCAAAAGATGGTCGCTGAAATACCATGTTGTTGGTATTGTCCAGGTAGCATTATTGTCAGGTGAATTCCGAATTTATTGCTGGTGTAATACACTCTAGTGAAATAGTCAAATTAAAAGGATTAGATAGAGATGAAAACCAAATAGGTGGAAATAATATAAATTGCATTATCTGCAGCAATTACAGAATGGAAGCACCGATTGATGCAGTTTGGTTAGATGTCTAAATAGGAAGTATAAAAATATGCCTTGCATGCATTTATAGGCCAGGTTCTACGACCAGTGAGGAAGCCAATACACTGATGACAAATACCATAAAAAAAGGCCTACACCCGAAACCACCCCATTTATATTATGGGAGACTTCAACTACCCAAACATAAATTGGGAAAGCCATGTAATTGCACTTCCAGACTAAAAAACACAGGAATTTATGGACATGTATCTTGAAACAAATGGTGCATCAAATTGTGAATTCTCTAACAAGGTACAGGAATAATCAGATACCTATCACTTCTGGACCTTGTTCTCACTAATGATCCTAAAAGCATCTTTGATCTTTTTACAG